TTAAACCACGACATAAACTTAACTTTGATAACAGTAAGTGTAATTCAAGTCCATGTGGTGACTGGTAAAGTGAGACTGAGGTCCATTTCTGTTTGGGTGGAATTTGATCAAGATCCAGTTTCATTCAGTCATGTGAATGAAAGTTCCCATGTGTGTTATCACCAAATAAAAAGTGAATATATGTTATATATTCAGCTCAGATTCCAAGTCTGCTGAGGCCCTGATATATAATTTACACTGCTCTTCCGGAAGCTGAAGTTGAGTTTTGTCTAAGGTACTAAATCTACCAAATCTTCTTCTTTAAGATTAGGTGCCTGAGAAGGAAGATTCCGTGTCTGTAGTTTTAGCTCTACCTCCACACCACCATCTCTGAAATGGTTGTCCTTCACAGTACCTTTCTTGTACCCTGAAAAGCGTCTCATATATCTTGAAACATCACATGGTGCTTCTTTAACAGCTATTTCTTGTATCTCCTCTTATAGGAGGTTTCTATCCTGTGCTTTAAGAGTACCTTCCTGAAGAGTCTTCAAGTGAGACAATGGAACTAGCCCTACCAATCTTGATTTTAGTTTTCTCACCGTACATCTTATATGTTGAAATGCAAGAGATGTATTTCAAAACACCACAGGCAAATTTCTAAAGAAAATTCAATTTGTTTGTCTGACTACGTGATGATACTGCAGCAGCAAACTACCTCAAGTATTGAGACTGAACATAATGAAAATATTTTAGAAGAGAGATGCGTGATGCAATCGTGGAGATAGATCCCAAAGGGTGCCCTTAGGGACAAGTGCAAAAACATTTTGACCTCTAAGGGTGCCTGTTCTACTCAGTTTGGAAAGCATTGTTCCCAAGTGGGCCCTCGCTCTGGAGCTTTAAGCCTTTATGCCACTTTGTTCTGAAGCATTAGAATCTCCACCATTCCTCATGTTAGGGTTGTCACTGCGTAGAGGAGGACTGGACATCAGGGGGACCATTACATGGTTCTCCACGCCTCGGGATGGATCCTGTAGTTCCTCCCTAATGCCTTAATCATGGTGATAATTCTCGTTCTTCCAGGAATTTTGCAAAGCAGCAAAGACGTGTCAGTGCGTGAAGAATTTAGCCTTTGTGCTCATGGCAAAGTGATGGACTGCTAGCCCAGGTGGAAGCACCCTTTCGCCTATGCATCACGTGGACCAGCTGAGTTGGGTTGAAAATGCTATGACCTTAAGAAAGAGGCAGGCCTGTGTACGGGTGGGAGATCAGTTGGAGGTGGTATCAGGGTTACCATCAGCATTAGGCAATCTTCCTGTGGCACCAGTAAGATTACTGCTTCATGTCTGAAGTCATCTCTTTCAGGCACTTGCCTGAAATGTATGTGTATATATGCATACATACATATGTATGTATGTGCTGTAGCAAAAGGATTACTCATCTGAGGTCAGGATTTTACCTCAGAGAGAGATTTGAAATGCAGTCTAGAATTTTTCCCTTGATCGCAGGGGAGCCAGGATTCTATCTGGGGGCTTTTAGCTTTCCATGCTGGTAGCAGGTATTCATTGTTCTTCACATACCAGCCAGGCACAATACCTATCACAGTTCATGTTCCTTGAATCTGAGACTAATAAATGTGTACGTATAGTAAATGTAGGTAGTAATTTTTAGGGTATGTCATTGCCATCTCTTCACAAAGGGAGAAAATGCTTTAAACCGAGAACATGTAAAAAAGGTCCTACATAGTTTGCTTTATCTGGGAAGCCTGACAGCTGTTAAACAGAGGCTTGTCAAAGTGAAAATGCCTCCTCAGCTATAACCGTTGGGGTGTAGTGGCACAAGGTCTGCTTTAATGCTGAATTTGCCCAGCAAAGTAACAAACAGCACCTGACGGGATTGCAGGTGCCCTCCAAAACCAAATTCTGATCTGTTCCCTTGCTCCTTTTGTCACTCATTAGCTGATTTGAACAGTAAGGAACATTTTGATACCTGCAAGTTATGCTAGCCTGTCCCATTTAATACCAAGAAAAGAAAGACAACCTTTAAAACAGTGGGTAAGACTTGGTGGCAGCCTTCAAGTCTTTTCTCATTGCCTTTCCTTTCCCCTTTTTTGCTTTGACTTTAGTTTTGACAGTTGGGCCTTTGTCTATCTCTAGACAAAGTCTCTCTAGGCTTCCCTCCTCCCCGTGCCCTTTAATTAACTCTTTAATTACTAGACTTCCTTTTCTAATGCTTCTCTTCAGTGCCAAGAGGAGAGTCTCATCTCTTTCCATCTACTATTTGTATATCCTATCAAATCAAGTTGTTTTTCTGTGTTGCCCTGTGTGCCATCGTGCCTTCAATATGTGACAAAAGTTACCTGAGTTTGCTGATTTCTACTTGTCTAATTAAATTGTTTTTGTCAGTTGAAACTGTAGGTAACTGTGTCCTGGATCTGAAACTTCCATGGTACGTCAGATCTGAAATAGGCAGAAGACAGCACTACCATTTTTTGCTCAATAGGATAGCATTTTTGAAATGTAAAGCACAAATAGGTTGCTTCAGCAGAGAATACTGTTAACGGATTTGAAAAGCAGTTCTAAGCAGCTAATGCATTTTTTAACCTCCGGGTTGGAACAGAGCCCCCTTCTTCATAGAATCATAGAATCATAGAATCATTGAGGTTGGAAAAGACCTCTAAGATCATCGAGTCCAACCGTCGACCCAACACCACCACCCACTAAGCCATGTCCCTAAGTGCCTCATCTACTTGTCTTTTAAATACTTCCAGGGATGGTGACTCAACCACTTCCCTGGGCAGCCTCTTCCAATGTTTCACCACTCTTTCAGTAAAGAAATTTTTCCTCACGTCCAATCTAAACCTCCCCTGGCGCAACTTGAGGCCATTTCCTCTCGTCCTATCACTTGTTACTTGGGAGAAGAGACCGACACCCACCTCGCTACAACCTCCTTTCAGGTAGTTGTAGAGAGTGATGAGGTCTCCCCTCAGCCTCCTCTTCTCCAGGCTAAACAACCCCAGTTCCCTCAGCCGCTCCTCAGAAGACTTGTTCTCCAGACCCCTCACCAGCCTCGTTGCCCTTCTCTGGACACGCTCCAGCACCTCAACGTCCTTCTTGTAGTGAGGGGCCAACTCCAACATCACTGCCTCCAACATCACTGCATGCTCTTGCTAGTATCATTCTCTTCTTCTTTGAGAAGTGTCCCGGTTTTTCATCTCTTTAAGCTTCAACATAACATCAGCCAGGCTGAAATGTAGTAGCCCATCCACTTATTCTTTACCAGATTCTGGAACTTTTCTTCTGATGAAACTCTGACTCCACTGAAGTCTGTAGGGATTTCAGCACTGACTTAACACGTTGGTTTGCATTGACATCCTGTTTCAGAATCAGTAGAACTGTCTCCCCTAGGCTTCACCTTCCCCCAGAAAATAAAACTTACACTCTCCAAACAGTCAGGTCTGCTTCTTTTAGTGGCTTGTTAATTAGTTCACTGATTAGACGTATTCAAATGCTATTAAACTTTTCTTTGCTCTTTCCATACTAAATGTGCACGGGCTCCTTGAGAAGTCTGTGGTGTGTTTACATCTATTTTGGAATCTTCTCCTCATGGATGTTTTCATGGGAGTTGTTTTGTAGTGTCTGCAATCCAAGTGCAACTGCTGCTGATGCATCTAATTTTTGCACTCTGTTCATAATTTTTTGCTCTGTTGACTGTATTGCAGTAGGTATGTCCACATAGGTGAAAAGTATCTTTATCCTTAATGTATTTTTAAATTTACAGGGTGATACATTTCACTTCTAGTTTTCCTGTCCTGTTTTTTTTTTAAATAACCTGCAAGTAATATTTCTTACCATATGGGGCGCTCTCCTGTGTTGCATGTTTAAAAGAGAAAATGGTCATGTAGGTTCTAATTAAAAGGATATTTTGCTATAACACAAAAACTTTGTTAATAAGCTTTGAAAACTTTGTGCTGTCTTGAGGACTTCCCCCCCCCCCCCCCCCCCGGTCTTTTCTTCATGCAATAAAGTAAGCTGTAAATAGTCTTTAAAGATGTTTTGTTTTTTCTTTAACCTCAGAATTTCTTAGCAGCTATTAGTGAAAAATATCTGGGAGTTGTTGAGGATATGTAATTTTATGCTTTTATTTGAGAGGGAGGTAAGTTGACCTTCAGCAGCTGTTGATTTTGATCAAAATTATAATCTACAGCTTTGATATGTGTTGCTAATGTTTCTCCATTACTTTTTGGCTTTCCAACTTTCAGTCCTAGAGTTTGTGATGTCATTTCACTGGCTTTCTAGGTGTCATCTTGTCTTTCTGTCTTTCAGTCAACACTGAATTTCTCTACCTGTCATTAGCAAGTGAAAGATGATTAAAGTAAAATACACTTTTCTGCTGTAGGCTTCCCCCAATATATCTGTAATTGTTTGAATTTCAAACCTTTAATTAATGTACCACAACGGTTTTCTTATTATATGGGATGTTTTATGCTTTTTATAAAAAAAAAAAATTAAAAAATGTAGTAATTAAACTGGAAATGAATTTCTGGTCCCACTGACGTTAGTAAGACTGGGATGTTTTCATACCCTGCATACAGAGAAATGAGCCAAGATGAGAGGTTGCAATTGGTAAGTTTGAATTTGAAGCTTAACTTTGGGTAGAAGCGTACTGTGAGGGAAAAGCTTGTGGAGAGCACATTTTGCATTATTGACATACTGAACAAAGAGCTGATCTCATCTAGAATAATTAACTAAGGTGCTGCTTTATATTTTGCTATTCCTTTATACTTCTGTAGTCTTACTCATGGAAATAATATATATAGTAGAATTTGAAGACATTTAGGGCCTTTAATACAACCTTCATTTTTGAAGGTTATATTATCATATAATCTTCTTGGTTATTTTTATCATAACTCCTTTTATTAAGTTAAGATTTCTCTAACACAGGTAAAGCTCCCAACTATAAACCTAAATATCCAAGCAGAATGCCGAATGTTTCTACAAACAAGGAATTTAGTGGGAAAAGTAAGCTTTCCTTCCCACCTGTGTAAGTAGTACGCTTATGAAATTCATTAAACTCCTAAGCCTGCAACTATTTGTGCACACAAGTAATATTACTCCTTGTGAAATTGCAGAGATTAGTGGATATGTGTATGGACTTTGTGGATCCTTACTGCTACTAAACTTGCTATCATGTGTGATACTAAAATAGTTTTACAAGCAACTAAAATAATAGCACTTTAAGTCGTATAGGAAAGCTATTCAGTATAACTTTGCTTTAGGAAAATTAGGCATACAGTTGCATGTCTTCATGTAGCACACTTTTATTGTATTCTAAATTGGTTTTTTTTCTCAATACCAGTGAACAGATGCAAATGATAATGTACATTGTTAGTTCTGTAAGCATAGGTTACAGAGACACAAGTAGGACTACCGTTTTAAGAAAACACATAAACTGTAGCCTATATAAGGTCAGGCACAGCAAAAATACTGTAATGAATACCTGGAAGATAACAGTCTTTTAAGCAAATTATTGTATCACCTGTGATGTGATGTAATCACATCATCAGCTGTGTGCGCAACTGAATTGTTTCTGTGTACTTTGTCTTAAAAATTTATTACACGGTAATCCCAGTACGTTTTAGAAATATGTTAATGAAGCAAAATCAGTGATTAAACTGTCTAATGAACTTAACAGCAAATCTGTGACAAAATTTCACCTTTGTGCAGCACAGAATGAGTATTGTCAGCCTTTTTTACTTACAGATTCTTTGTGTGATTTCCCTTTTTCACTTTTTCGTCTCTAAGACCAGAACCATGTAAGTATTCTACATGTAAAGTTCCAAAAAATGGATGGCTCTTCTCATGTAAATTACGCATTACTGAATCAAGTGTAGTTATGTGCTTTGGTTTTTTTGGGGTTTGTTTTTGTTTCTTTCTTAGATGATTGCATGTAGAATATATGTTTAGTTACTTAGAAATAAATTATGTTACAAGGCTAGCGCCCTTTCTGTGCAAAATAAAATTTTCCCACCTAATCCCCATTTTTGTTTACTTATGCTATTGTTTTCCTTAATATATTTGGATTTACAGGCCTGCTCAGAGAAAAAGCGAAGCAGTAAACTTCAGCAAATTAATTAGCAATGGTTATGGGACTGACTGGTTTCAGCAGTGTACTGGATGGGAAAAAAAGATTCAAGAAACATCAGAAAATAGTGAGCAGTCCAAAGGCAAAAATTATTGACAGCTGTTTCTTTTAAAGTGAGTTGGGATCTTAAGGTAACAGCAGAGGGTAGCCTGAATAATTTGTGTGACTCTCTTCGAATATGGTGAGACTTACTGAATTACTATGCTTAGCTTACAAAAACCTATGACTAGCCAAAGAAGAGAGTGTTCCTGTTTGTAGTCAGCGAGGGCAGGGGCTTTCATGGATTTTTTCATCTTTACAATTGCAGAAGTATGCTCTGTTCCGATCCAAGGGTTCCTGTGTGACATGTTTTTGTAAAATGCTGCAGAGACACAGCCATCCTCCTGCCTAAATTTAAGTAGACCGTAAAATATTTGTTGCCTGTTTGTTGTGAATAGTCTTTGGCCCCTAATATTTTTCTGAAAACTTCTGTGACAAATGTCATTGATACTCGTGTTTACAAAACAGATCAGTTCATTAAAATTTGTCAACATAAATATATGTGCATTGTTGAAGACAGTGGTGTTACAACAGTTTTATTAGAGAGAAAAAAAGTTATCCAATGTTTACCTACGATTTCAAACCTTACTTTGTCATGCACGATGGTAATTGCTATGAAAGACATCACTTGAGAACACTTAGATACAAAGGTTAAAAGGGAGGAAGATTCCCCTTCTGTCAAAGAGCTTTTGCTTAGGCTTTTTACAGTGGCTTGGTAACCACGGTGGGTATATCAGTTTTCTATAGCAACCTTTTAAAATGCTATTGAACATACACATTGCAAGCTCCAGAGTTTTATTTTTTTATTTGTATCTGTGAATGCTCGTGTATACACTGGGGATTGCCATGACTCCCTTGACCTTGGTGTATCAATGTGTGAAAGTCTTAGAGGCCAGTTAGTTTAGTTTCTGTGACACTTTAGCATTTCCTGAATTCATCTTTTTGTCTTCCATTGATATATCTACAGTAATATTTTGTGTGTGTGTGCATGCAGAACCTCTTCCTCCAGGTGAGTATCAGAAGCAAACAGGCAAACAGAAAACTAGACGTTGTGTGTTATTGTTCAGAAGAAAAACTGCTATAAAACTAGAGATGAAGCCAGATCTCGGTCTGGACCTGAAAGAGGGTGCATAACCTGAGAAGCTACTCTTCAAAGTCAACGTAAGTATCCAAACTCTGATCATTGCTGCCTTGGAAGGCGCAATGACCTAACAGTTCAACCATGGAGCCTAAAAGTGCTTTTCCTTAGCATGACAGAATGCCTTGAATATTCTTCTTTTGTCTTCAGGTTCTATTTAACTTTCCTGTGCACTGACATTTTTCTTTTCCATTACTGTGAGTAAAATGAAAGGATTTGGGATTTTCATTCATTCATTTGGTGATAGTTGATCTCTTTAATGTGAAGTGTGCCTCTAATGGGACACTTGGGATATAAAGAAAGCTGACGGTTTTTCAGAGTAATCATGATATTGGTTTGGTTATACCACTTATGCATAGAGAACAAAATGATGGGTATACTGTAAAGGCTGCTAAAAAGTCAGTATGCTGCATAGTTTGATATGTAGATACATCTTATTTTTGAGATGCTTTTCTCTCACAAATTCTTAGATAACATGACACCCGCTTTGCTTGTATTGCCCTCCTTTGTCAATCACAGCTATTCCGACTGAGATTGATTCTGTATCTCAATGTAAAAGAAGATATTTTTAATGCTCTTAACAGTATGGTTTCATCCAGACAGGTACCTTGATTTAGTTTTGACCCTGTCCTTTTCATTTTTTCAGGTATGCACTGAAGGTAGTGCTTGTATTTTCTTCCCACTTGGGTACTTTTGTCTGCTCATCCAAAGCAATTGGCAGCATGAGCCCCTTGCAGCTCCCTTTTGAGATGGAGCTTTCTCTGTTCTCTCTTGCGCAGGATAAATCCAAGACACAGCAGACAGGAGAATCAACCCATTCCATATGTAAATCTATAACCTGTTTGTGTTGGGTTATAGATTTGCATCATTCTGCAGACTTTGTAGGTAGCTTGTCTATCTTGTTAGTTAAAAATTAAAAGTACTGGAATTTGTATGCATTTTGACATGAGAGAGAAACTGAAAATTTTATTTGACCTTTTTATTCTTACGGTTGAAGTTTTCCCAAGAACTTTCATCTTTTTTTATTGCAGATTCAGAACCATCACAGTCTGAATCAGCACCTGCAAGCAATGAGTCAAAGCCACCGTTTCAGGGATGGAATGAGTAACTTAAAAGATTGTTGGGGAAAGTAAAGCCTTACATGGCTTATATAGTCCACTGTTTACATGTTTGTTAGATTACTCTTTATAGTGGAACTCATCCCTGATTGAGAAGTTCATTTGGTTTATAATATGGATAAACTTCATTGTGCTTGATTACAGCAAATTTTAAAGAACAGGCAACAGCTGTCAGTGCGTATTCCTAGACTGTTTCTTAATATAATAAACAAAATAAAGCAAAACTGAAGTTCTCTCGTACACCAGACTGGTGCTCCTTTGCTGTTGTCAAATAGGGTTACCATATTGCTGCTGATTTGACTAGATACAGGCACAATATCAATGTGTCCAAACCAGCAAGTCTCTTTATTTAACTACAGTTATACGCATGACCTACGCCATAAAGAAAAGTGAAGGGGAACTGTACGGTATGGGATGAAATGTAAATAGAAAGAATTGAACTCGTATGGATCCTTGCAGCGAAAAAGTCAAGACTTCACTGGAAAGATGGCTTCTTAGTCTCAAAAGCACATTTATTTAGACCAGATGTTCAGCTTTCTAGGACAATTCTATTGCTATGCCTGCTGCACAAGAACTAGTTGATCAGTCATAGTGTTCAGCCACATCATTAAATTAAGACCCGGTGGCATTTCCTGTTATAGTCTTGTTATGTAGAAGATGAATCATTGGGTAGCAGTGGTGCGGGCTAAGCTATATATGATGTCTGCACTTTCGTCTGTTAAATGAAAATTTTACTTATCCTGAAGTTTTGACTGCAACAAAAGTATTATAAGCTAAATCTCTGTGTTTATTCACACCAGCAAAACAGTTTGTACTTTGAAATAGCAATGCATATAAATTATTTTAATATTTTGAAAAAGTTAGATACGCTGATATTTTAACACTTGCTCTTTTATCTACTTGAATTAGGATATATCCCTGAAATCTTATGAATAATTAAATGCTTCTTATAAAGCCCATTAGAAAGTGGATGCAATTTCAATACAATATTTTTTGCTAATACTATGAAAAGTGAAGTTTTTAATAAGTAAAACGGTAATTCTTAGTTTCCTTTTCAGAGTGCACTCAGTACATTGTACACCTTTGAATCCAAGAGCTGAAGATTTTAAAATGTATTACTGAATATACATTTCTTTTAACAAAATGTTTAGAGGATTTGGCTTAACAGTGCTTCCCCTTAGAACTTTGATATGAAAATTGATTGGAAATAGGTAAACCTATTGCTAATCTGAACCCTCAAAATTTTCAGTGAAAGTTTGTGGCAGTTTTGCTGTTGATGTTGTTAGACCCAGCATCTGAGTCCATCTCTGCTGTTCATTCTAACCAACAATTCAACTGTCCAAGTTGCATTTACAAAAATAAAAGGCTAAAACATACAAAACTGCCTAAATGTACAGTTACTGGTTAGTCAACAAAATTTTCCAAATATAAAAAAGCTTACATCAAGCTGTAGCTGAGAGGGGGGAAAAAAATTACTACCTTATATCTGTTTTCACTTACAATTTGTAGTGGATTAAGTTCAGATACATTGAAATCATTAATTTTGCTGTGAAAGCAGAGCTTTTGGTGAAATCTACTTTTCTAGGCTAGAGTACCAGGGGATGCCAGAGCTGGAGCTCATAGTATTAAAACAGGAGAAAAACTGTCACCTGTCATTATAGAGAAGCACTAAAGAATAAGCTTGTGTGAAGAAATTGTGTATGTATAACAGGCAAATTGTTGATACACTTAGGATTTCAACTATAAAACTTTACACCTAATGCAGTAATCACTAGTAGCTGCATGATGTTCTCCAAAAAAATAAGTACCATTTTATGAATTTTTTCAGAATTATTCAGTCATATGAACATGCCTTATCCAGGAATTCAGCTATCTTCATTTGATAGAGTCTTTGGATAAGGTTATAATTTTTATTTTTAGTGTCTGTAAAAAAGTGTAATAGAGGGCTGGGTTGTTTGTGCCCACCGATGGTAAACTGCAACAGTAAAATAACTTCGGTGTATGACAGCCTTTGTAGCATACTTTAAGGGTATAACTATCAACAATATTACTACTTTCCAGTCTCACTTTGATCTTCTGACTCCTATTATCGTAGGAAGAACTTCTTTTGCAAATACTATTTGCAGTTACGTGCTTTACTGGCCAAAACATAAAAGAAAGGGGAAATAGGAGATGATGATGAAACTCTCTGGATTTTAACGGAGCTGCTTAAGGGTAAGGCAGCCAAGTGGGTTTTTTTAATGCTCATCAGTTGAGTAAGAAGGTTTTTTGTTCTTAAGCATATATTGAATCCATTTCAATCTCTTTTTTTGTAGAAAGTTTTCTGAAAGGTGTTTAGCACAAATTTACTGAAAAAGTTGGAGACAGTAATGTTATTACCCCAAAAAAAAAAAGCCCAACTAGCATAGTATTTACAAATTTAAAGATCACCTGTTCACATAGACTTGAAGGTGCTTGGTGTGCCAAAGCCCTCAAAATCTATTCCATAAAATAAGAATTCCTGTGTGGCCGCAATACTGCTGACCTACAGACAAGAATTCTGATCATTCTTTTCTATGTTATGGTCTCTCTTTCTCATTAAGATCTGTACAAGGCTTCCTAAAGTAACTTCATTACTTTCAGTTGTTGATGTCTAAGTCCTCTTCACTTTTGAACACTCTTTCCTCAGTATTGGAGTTCTTGTTCAAAACTGTCATACTTTTAGGCAATTGTTCGAGGCAGAGACAGAAAGACAACAGATCCTAACTTGGTCACTCAGCACTGTTGTTTTGCTTTACTGTAGTTGTGTTCTTAGAAGTGTTTATAGTGCTGGTTTTCAGATATTTTAAAAGTGTACACCATATCCTATTGTAAAAATTGTCTCTTTTTACCTTGGTCACCATTAGGTAATATCCGCACGACATTCCTCAAATTCTTAAAGTTTGCTAATGTGCCATTAATGTATACTCAGCTTTCCTTTGTCAAGCCAAGGAGATGTTTGATCTGCACTGTCGGTCAACTGAGTCTTCATGGATCACAGTTTGAATACCCCGAGTTAGAATATTAACAGCCTAAGATTTCCCTTTGTAAGAGCAGGTGGAGAACCCTGGAATCTGTCTTTGTGCGCTCAGAATAGTGGAGAGCGGCAGCAGAAGCACAGCTTGCCTCTTCTCCAAGGGACATGAAATCAAAGTAGTGTAACAAATAAAAAAGCTCCAACTGAATTAAAGGATGGAAATGTGTTGCTTAAGTTCACCTTACCCCAGTAATTATGTTGTTTTACTTACTTCTGAGTCAATGCAGTCATGCAACTGGCAGTTTTCAAAGTCATCAGCAGTTCCATGTAACAGCCGTGGAAGCTTCTGGGTCTGGAAGGGTTTTCAATGTTTGTTTTTCAGAGAGATGCTGAAGTCAAAAGCTGGGTGCTTACTTACAAAATCTAGCTTTAGTGTTTTAAATGCTGAAATGTTTATTTAGTTGTATTGTGCTCCATCTCTGACCTGAATGACTTTAAGTAAGAAGTGAGATAATTTCTTTTCTTGAATACTGATTGCTTTGCAAGCCCAAAGGTAAAACAAAAGTGCAGTTACATCTTATGAATTACATCCAAGTATACTGAATATGTGAATATTTTTAAAAGAGAATTCCAGATACAGACTTAAAAAATAACTTGGCAGTTTAGGTACCAAAGAGTAACTTTCCTTTTACATGCAACCATCTAACTGTAGCAAAGTCTAATGGCTGGGGTTGTTTTTATGTGACCGAATATATACTTCATTCTTACCACTTATGTCTTTTTAGTCTAGACTAAAATATAAACATGTTTTCAGAGATCAAGGGTATATATACATTAACTTTCTTTGTGTAGCAATGCAAACAAAAATTAAATTGGCCCATGCATTTCTTAAGCATCTAAAATTTCACTCACTTCAGCATATCTATTTCTTAAATACTTATATCTGCACCGAATATGCAGACTTAGTTGTAAAAGATGTAGGTGAAATGTTTATTTAGTTGTATTGTGCTCCATCTCTGACCTGAATGACTTTAAGTAAGAAGTGAGATAATTTCTTTTCTTGAATACTGATTGCTTTGCAAGCCCAAAGGTAAAACAAAAGTGCAGTTACATCTTATGAATTACATCCAAGTATACTGAATATGTGAATATTTTTAAAAGAGAATTCCAGATACAGACTTAAAAAATAAACTTGGCAGTTAGGTACCAAAGAGTAACTTTCCTTTTACATGCAACCATCTAACTGTAGCAAAGTCTAATGGCTGTTTTCATTTTAATGTGACCAAATATATACTTCATTCTTACCACTTATGTCTTTTTAGTCTAGACTAAAATATAAACATGTTTTCAGAGATCAAGGGTATATATACATTAACTTTCTTTGTGTAGCAATGCAAACAAAAATTAAATTGGCCCATGCATTTCTTAAGCATCTAAAATTTCACTCACTTCAGCATATCTATTTCTTAAATACTTATATCTGCACCGAATATGCAGACTTAGTTGTAAAAGATGTAGGATGAAGCCAATTTTTTTCCTGTAAACAAATAGCCTAATATTCTGCTTTTGCAGTTCTCTGCAGATTATTTTTCAGAATGTAGTTACATATTATGCTGTAGCCTGGAAAAAAAGCTAGAAATAGAAATACAGAAGTTCAGTCTTAGCATGTTTTGTCCTCCTATTGACAGTTTTAAGGATACTAAACATCCAGAATGACTGAAGAATCAAAATGCAGTAGGTAAGTGTCCGAACAGCTGCACTGAATTATTTGACCAATTGACTATAGAAATGGTATATGGTGAGCAGGAAGAAGTATACTTTTGATTATAAAAGGACAGACAGCCTTACTTTCCATAGATGCAAGTTTTCATCCATGCAATACAAAAATCTGAAAAGTGACGCCAGTTGCAGGTTTCGTAATTTATTGTTGTAATAATCCCAGTATGTAGTTATGTATTTTTCACCCTTCTAAAATAACATTTATTAACATATTTT